CTTACCTAAAAGAGAAAAAGTTTAGTCACATAAACATCTGACTTTTTTAAATGATTATGTGCCTTTTTATACAGTGGATATCAACTTCTGGTTTCAACTGTACATGTCAACTTACACTAACCCTAACCCCTACCTAACAGTCTACTTATAATCTATAATGGAAATTAGCTTTTAAGTATAAGTGAAGTCAACAGTACTCATGGCTCTGCTGTATATGCAGGATGTCTCATAAAGCAATAAAGCCGTATAAACACACACACAGACAGCGGATGTAATTGAGAATTTTATCAGCAGATTTTTATCACTTCTGCATGGGTGTTTGTCTAAGACTGCATGCGGAAGGAGTTTTGTTGCTGTTTAATGTAACAGAATGCATTCAAGTAGATTATTTACTGCTCATAAAATCCTCAGATGAAGGGCATTCAGGACGAGTGCTGTTTATTGGCATTCGAGGGGCAACTGTGGCTGGAAAAAATACCATTATATTAACCTACTTTTTCTTGTCATGACAGCATCGCATTGATATCTGTTATTAAGGTGGATACAGATTAAATGGGACACTGTCTGATCGTTTGTTATCTAAGTAGATTAAAAATGTGATGACAAATTGCTCAAATGTATCAACAATACAAGCCTAATCTCATGTGGAAACAGGACTATTTTACAAGGCATTTTTTTGTTTTGTCACTTGTTTTTAAAAGTGAAATTTCTAAGTAATTTCAGATAATTTGTAAAGTAAATCTTTAATCTTTGTCCTTGTTTGTAATATAGGTGCATTTTCATAAAATCATTTATAGTGAATACTTAAGGTTAAATTAATATCTGTTACAACATTCAGGTCAACATTTCATGTTTTAAGCCTAAACAGGTTGATTAAACTTAAAAAAAAAAAAAATAAAAAAAATAATTAATGGAAACTCATTGCCCTAAAAAAGCTAATTTTGTTTTGTAGAAAAAACAAAACCTTTTAGGTTTATTATACCTAAGATGTCAATAGTGTTGCACTAAAAACTTTTATTTTGGTCAACTGAATGTTTCATTAAATGCATTTGAAATCATACGTACAAAACTGCACCACTGCGTCGCCCCAATATAAATGTCAGTATTTTGCAAAATTACTAAAATATTTTCTTCTTCTGTCATCATTGGAAAGGTTAAATAATTTAGTTAATGAGAAAAAAAATAGTTGGGAGAAACAAAAAAATTAAGTAATATTAAAGCATATTTTTAAAAGTTCTTGCGTTCGCTCGCAAAGATGTTTTGTGGTCTCTTGCAAAACCGTTGTTCGACAAACACTTCACTTCATACATGTCAACCCTCCTGTTTTTGCCTGGATTCTCCTTTATTTTACCATTATATCCCACTATCATCCTATCATTAAGTATTTTCCATATTTTTTTTCCATATTTTTATCTTGAAAGCATGTTGAAATTAATATAAAAATATATGCATTCACTTTCTTTCCATTAAAGATGCGTGTCGATCATTTCCTTTCATTTGCTACCTCTAAATCAGTGAATACATGCATAAGCGCTGACTGGCGGACAGGCTCCATATGATGAACTGATCCCAGATCAGCTTCTGTACACGCCATTTAAAGTGACATCTCTGTTATCAAACAAATCAAAATGTGAGATTCATTTGCTGCTCTTCATTTGTTAACAGTTTTGCGAGATAACGCAAAACATCTTTGTGATGTGAACTATAATCTATACGTTTTTTTTCTCCCACCCAATTTTTTTTATCTTCCACCCATTATTTTCTCTCCATCATCACGTCCCTTCCAGGTGTTTGTCTTTGAAAATTTATAAAAAAAAATAAATAAATAATTTAAATAAATGAAATATAAAAAATAAAAATAATAAAAATAATTATTAATTATTTAAAATATTTTTTTATATATTTTTTATAATAAAAATAATGTTTCTTTTATTTTTATTTTATTTTATATACATTCTCTTAGACTCCTACAACAAGAAAGGTAACTTTTTTTCTATCTTTAATATATTTTAAAATCGAATTTATTGCTGTAATTTCAATGCTAGATTTTTAACATCCTTACTCCAGACACAATCGTTTAGAAATCATTAGTCTGAATTGCTGTAATATATATTCAGTTTTTTTTTTTTTTTGCCTGAAGGAAAGGACTCATTTTGTGGCTTACTGTAGATGTCAGTGCAGAACCAGCCTTTACGCCATCCAAAAGCGCAAGCCCTGACCTGTGTTTTTTTGTTTTTGCTGTTGGTGTTCTGGCATCAGTCGTGCCTCCTAAACTCTACACCCACAGATCCGCAATCAGTGCCAGCACTGCCATTCTCACAATCCTGGCCACAAACACAAGCCACAATTCAACACACGTTCATTTTCCTTTATTACTCTATTCATTCTGGCTGATTACTGCTCATTTGTAGAGATGTTTCAGTTTATAGTGGCATTTCGAGGCTGAAAACAGTGGAGAATATGAGAGTGTGCCACCGTCAACTTCAGAAATGGCCAAAGGATGAAGTCAGAGTCTTAGTTGAAGGAAAACAAGAACACCCAGACCATATTGAGACATGCTTTCTCGACTTACTCTAAAATATTTTGAAATATTTTTTCGAGCACAATTCATTTAGCTTTTTTCTCAAACTTTTTTTTTTGATGAAGTAGGTATTTAAGTAACACCAGTGGTGTAAAGTAACAAATTATAAATACTCAACTTACACTAATTGAGTATTTTTTTCTCAAGAATAGTAGTTTACTAAGTAGTTTTATAAATTTGTCCTTTTACTTTTGCTATTTTTGTGCAGTATTGGTACTTTTACTCTTCTACTTTCCTTCAGGCTGCAGTAATTACTTTATTTTTACACTCTATGGGGATTAGAAGATTCAGTCCTGTGATTCCTGTCCAATCAAAACCCACAGAAGGTAATTCGCATCATAATTAACTACCTCATGACTTGGGCGATTTATAATTGCTGCTAACTGTTTGAAATCATTAAAAGTGTCCAAGAAGATGTCCAAAATCTTTACACGCATTGACCCAGAGACTGTTTATGCTAGATTTTTAGCATCATTAATGCTGACACAATCCTTTAGGAGTCATTAGTCTGAATTGCTGTAATATATATTTAGTTTTTTTAGCCTGAAGGAAAGGACTCATTTTGTGGCTTACTGTAGATGTCAGTGCAGACCCAGCCTTTACGCCATCCAAAAGAACAAGCCCTGTCCTGTCCTGTTTTTTTTTTTTTTTTTTGAGACTGTTTAGATGTATGTTTCTATAAGAAGATGATGGATGTTTACTGTATGATGACTGAAATGGCCTTAAACAGCCAGCAGGCACAAGACGTCAACATGACGTCAGATTGATGTTGTACTCCAACATCATGGGGATGCTGCATTTTGTTTGGAAGTGAAAATCGGATTGACGTCAGAACTCAACATCAGGCCGACGTCAATGTCCAACGTTCAACCTAAAATCAACCAAATCTCAACATCTAATGATGTTACAGCTTGATGTTGTGAGGAAGTTACCACTATGAGATCCATCAGACGTTGGATTTTGGTTGCCATACCTGACGAATAAATGTCAGTATTAAGATGTTGGCTCGACGTTGGATTTTGGTCACTATTAAACAACCTAAAATCAACCAAATATCAACGTCATTTCACATTGTTATTGGACATCAAAATAACATTGTCCATAGACGCTGGCTAGACCTTGAATTTTGGTCACCTGACGTCACAACCTAAATCTAACCTATTATTTACGTCTTTTGACGTTGTGTGCCTGCTGTGCAATAACTAAATGCACTACAGAATGTTACGTTTACACACATCCACAAGCTACATTTAAACACATCAACTTTTTACAGCGTAATACTCACTACTCTTGAGTACTTTTAAAAGGGCTACTTTTTACTCATACTTTGAGTAATATTACAACAAAAACTTTTAATCTACTTGCACTACATTTTTAGGCAAGTAATGATTCTTTTGCTTGAGATTGATATTTCTGTACTCTTTACACCACTGGTAGCATATGATCAAACTTTACAACTACTAATAAATAGTTAATATCTTATAAGATCCATAAGTATATATATATATATATATATATATATATATATATATATATATATATATATATATATATATATATATATATATATATATATATATATATATATATATATATATATATATATATATATATATATATATATATATATATATATATATATAACAACTGAACAAGTTATGTTTCTTTTATGGATGTTTAAACTTTTTTCTAAAATGATCTCTTTCAATGTCAAAACAGACCTGAAATCACTACGTGAAGTTTATTCATAAACTAATTTCGAGAGGAGCACGTGATTATGATTGAACACGGATGGTTCTGCATTAGCATGCTTGATCCACCAATCAGGCTATTCCTAACCACAATAAAGAGCCAGGGTTTTTTCACTACAGTCATCTTCGATTTGAAGAATCCCCCCTTCCACCCCTACCGTTTCACCTTTCCCTCCATAGGGCAGCACGGTGGCTCAGTGACTAGCACTGTCGCCTGACAGCAAGAACGTCACCGGTTCTAGTTCCTTAACAGGCCGGTGGTCGTTTCTGTGTGTAGTTTGCATGTTCTTCCCGTGCTTGCGTGGGTTTTCACCGGGTTCTCCGATTTCCTCCCACATTCCAAAAACATGCACAACAAGTTAATCGTTAAATCTAAATTTCAATACAGGTAATCTAATAATGCAGCATATCTTTTAATAGCTTTCAATCTTAGTCTTTAGCTATTATCAAAGGGGAGTTGTCGAGATCTACCTGAGCTCGAGGCTCCCCTCTCTTCCTCCAAACCGGAGGGAGCCCAGGGCTCAAGAACTTTCGAGCTCAGGGCTCTCTCCCGGGACAGCATGCCAAACTTGCTTATAATCAATCATCAGCTAAGTGTGAACTCTTGAAAGCATCAAACCTTAAACTTAAATAACCAAAACCATGTACTAAACAAGCACACACACTGCTGTTGTTTATAAAGAGCTTTTATTTAAAAGCACACGTATTAGAGCTAAGTACATTTAGCAGAAAAAAACATATCGCTATTATTTGACTTTGTACAAAATGAGACAATACAAAAATACTAATAGTGAATTTGATACAATTGTATGTGTTTTATTCAACGTTTATTAAAAACGTACTATCACAACTCTACAATATTTTAGTCACCTAAAAAAAAAAAAGGTCAATCAATGCTCATAAAAGCAGCACTTTGTAAATAAACACAGGTCATGACACATTGCGTTTTAGATTCATAGTGGATATATCTAAACATGTTCAGAAATAATATCTTACATAGTTAATTTTAGTGATCTATACATTATTTATATACTTCTGAGAGAGAAATAAAGCGGTCTGTTGAAATGATAGGACGGACTATACAATGGGAGGGATGTGCAACACATTTGGAGCTTGAGTTGTGTTGTATGGATGTGTTTTCTGGAGTATTCAGGCAGTCCTGTACAGCTGTAAGTGGGACAGTAGACGACGACATCATAAGAACAAGGCTAAGAAAAGGCATTTCCATAAAAAAAAAACAAACAAAAAAAAAAAAAGAGAGAAGAAATAAAAGTCCACAGTTTTCTTACGTTTCTTCACATACAAACACATATGCAAACGAGGGACCGAGCGTCCCCCTGAGGGACCCCACATTCCCCTTTTTCAGGGCAGTATGATTCTTGCCAGGACAGGCAGAGGGCACAGGTGGCATTATGGGTGAAAACACGCAACCATAGTTGAGTGCTTAAGCAGTCGGAACAGGAAAGAGGTCAAACCAGCCAGCGGAAGAGGCTCATTCCCAGTTCCAAAACAAAGCAAATATTAAAAATGTGCCAGTGTGGTCTATGGGGAAATTGGGAGTCAATCCCACCCACTGTGGAGATGAGATACACCCCTTTGATGTCTAACCCCACCCTCTGACCAATCAGAAGACATAGAAGCAACATGGCTCAGCTACGCCCCACCACCAGCTGCGGTGACAAGACACATTTCCAGATGTCTTACTACTGACCAATCAGAAGAGAGCAAGACAAAGAAATGAGACACACCCTTCTGGATGTCTACTCCCACTTTTTGACCAATCAAAAGACAGCTAGATGGCATGGCACAGCCACGCCCCTGTGTCAACGATGTTGATGAGGCACACCTCCCAGATGTCTAACCCCACGCCCTGACCAATCAGTAGACAGTGAGGAGAGGTGGCTAGCAAAGCCACGCCCCTGTGTCAACAGTGGTAACAATACACACCTCTCCAATGTCAAACCCTGCCCCCTGACCAATCAGAAGACAGTGAGGCAGCATGGCTCAGCCAAGCCCCCCAGCCCCACGGTTTGAGCAGGGATTGTAAATTTAATATCTAAAATTAAAAGCCCAACCCGCCCTCCCGCCCGCCTTTAAAAAAACAAACCCGTTAAATTGCAGTTAGGCCACTGTTTCGAGTAGCTCAAAATCAGCTCGTCATCAAGCTTCTTGAAGCTACGCTCCTCAGATAGCGAGTGGTGACATTTCATGAATTTGTATATAGTGCTATAAGTTATTATACTGTTAATATATCTGTGCTAATTACATCGCAGGTATGCATCATTCCTATTAATAAGGAATTTGTTGTAAGCTGTTCCTGAAAGGCTACAAAGGACAAAAGGAGAGAACAGCTGGTCATGAGACCAGCCTCACATTCACGCTCTCCTTGTCGTTCAATACTTCTGTCATCCAACATTCTGAAGGACAATTGGCTTGTTTTTTCTGTTAGCTTTGTGTCTGTTTGGCCTTTCGAATTGGGCTCTTGGATTGTGAGGTCATTTGTAATAAGAGTCAATAGGATTGTCTCTGTCCTGTGCCTACATTCTACTGTCAGATGAGAAAGAGAGGAGGCGTCCTCCTCCGTCACAGGTGGCTATTCTGGTTTTCTTCAGGGGAATCAGGGAGGGGTGGAGTGAAGGGTAGGGAGATTGGGAATGCAGACTCCCGGTCCTCCATCCTACACCATGTTGTGATGGTTGTTCCTCTCGATGATGTCAGAAGAAGGGAGCAGCTCTTTCTTGATTGGCGAGGGCGGCGGAGTGGCTGTCTTAGCTTTGGGTTTGAAGAGATCTGATACATAAAAGACCTAGAAGAGGAGCAAAAAAAAAAAAAAAACACCATTAGATTGTTCATTTGAGAGCCAAACAAAGGGTGGAAATCAACTATGCATACAACATTACTGGCTTTCAGCAACAATTATTTTCAAAGGCACCTTTGGTTGAAGTTTCCTTTTTGGTTGGTTACTTTTTTGTGAACTACAGTGGATCTCAATTTGACTTTACTCAATTTCTAATTGTAATTCCAGACTAAATTTGCCACCTCATTTCAGATTGAGTTAAATGTATAAGTTTTACTGGAACTAACAAGATAACTCAATGTTGTTCTGAATAAGGCATGATCCTGGTTGCCAAGGTGTTCTAGATGGATAGATGTTTGCTTAGAAGATAAGAAGAAGGAAAAGATCATCAAAATCCTAACAGTAGCTGCATTAAAACACAATAAAACTGTCTGTGCTGACATGCAGCGCGATTTGGCCTTCCAGAGTTTGAATTCCAGCTCATGGACCTTTCCCGATGCCATGCCCATATCTCCCTCTCTCTCTATCTCCTACTCCATTTCCTGTTTAACTACTGTCCTAATAGAGGCAAAACCCAGTCCTGAAACTGGAACTGCCATAATTTTAAACAAAGTCTGTCTTAAACTCATGTTTCTGTCCGAAATTCAAAACATACTGCAAGTGCAAACGTTCTGGAACAATTCACTCAAACTGGTAAACACCATAAAATATGTGTATGGCACATCTGCCTACATTTGTCTCTGAAAATCTGGGAGACCAGGAAAAGAGGTTTTGGTTCAGGGGTGAGGTGTCTGAAAAACACTGTTGAAAACTGGTTAGTAACTGTACTATGGACCAGGTTTAAGGCGGCCTCTGCGATCAGATACTATGCCAGATAGTAGGCGACCCGGGGGTGTTACAGACTGTACTCAAAAGCTAAGGACCGTGAGGGGGAGGTAATGTGGGGATGAAATTATTGGAGTTTTCTGGGAAAAATAACAAAACGGGAGGATGGTGGGAGATGGGTCTGAAATACGGGAGACTACCGAGAAAAACGGGAGTTTTGGCAGGTATGAGGTGCGGTTCTAAGGCTCTGCTTTCTTTTATGTCGAAATCTTTTCAAGTTCTTTTTACAGATTTTTTATAGGACAAATTGAAGCAACTTTTTTCAATTTTCTGTACAAAGCACTGAATAAATAAGTGTGATGAACTGAAGAGCTTGTGCAAAAATATCCACATCGCTATAATCAGATACAACTTAAATGGCAGTGGTGAGAAAACGGTAGTCAAGAAAGCATTTTGTTATCAACAGGAGGATGTGCGAACTTAACATTGCTATGAGCAGTGCGGCTGACGTTGGGATGTTTTCTAACCATATACTATATTTTTAGAACTTTATCTTTACCTAAAGGAAAAAAAGAACAAGAACTTCTTAGCTTTCCTTATTATGCCAATTTAGACACAGATGACTAATAAATCCTTTGAAATATCCAATTATATAAAGGCTGGCAATCCATCATCCATGACATCCGGATGTGTATGAGGTCACACATCTGATAAGAATGACAAACGAACACCACATGCCTTAAAAACACTGACTCAGTAGGGAAGATAAAGAGCAACCTCCTCGGTTCCTTTGTTCAATCCTTGACTCTGAGGAAGGAGTGTGTTCAGTACGCTCTCATTTGCCGTGGGAAGAACTTTGTTGTGAAAGAAAAGATGCCCGACAGCCCTCCTTTACATCCTGGTGACATCACAGGAAACTAGGGAGGGTACTGAGGAAGTGTGCCCTTGGCATTAAACTAGGCTTGCACCCAAAAGATTTACAAAGAGCCGAAAATACGCAAGTCTGAGTCACATGGCCTTCATGCCAAAGACAGAATGCTTTCTTGGTAATGTTGGCCTGAGGGATATTTCACCGTCTATGCTACTGAAGCATGCAGAACAGCTGACGGTGGAATCAGCGATTCCAGAAACCCTGCCAACACATAAACACACGCTATTTATGAGGGTGTGAAGAGTATGGGGCCAGTGTGTGACAGGGAAAGAGGTCAGTGTTTGGGGTTGCTAACAGCTAAATTGTCCTGACACGCTTCAGGAGCTGCTGTCAACCCCTGAGCGGCAAACTGCCCCTGGGTGATGCCAAGGGGGGAGAAAGAGCACAGGCTTGCACACAAAATAAAAAAAGGGATTTCCTATTTGGTTGTGTGGGTGACAGGCCTGAGTAATAGAGCAGATTTGTGGAAAGAGATAGAAAGTGAACACAGAGGCCATCGAAGTTCTGGAATCATCTTTCCAGCAGCTGTTTCTTGCATATCCTCTCAGTGGAAGGCGTTATGCACGCATACAAAGAGAGCTTTATCCAAAGGTTACAGCGGATGAATTCATCCTATAGGGCCTCCTGTAAGCGTCTTCTGTCCATGTGAGTGAACGTATGCCAGAAAGATCATGACATTTCCAGAGTGACCTTTAGATTGCGCTGCCATGACATCAGGAAACTGGATCTAGATCCTCGGCTTCTTTGCAGATACAAAGAAATTCTTTTCAGAAGCAATGATGTCAGACATGGGCTTTTTGGTCAACGATCGAACGAAGTAGCTATTGAAAACACATCTGAACAATATGCTGTTTGATTATGGTAATAAGTCCACTGATTTGATACATTCTGTTATAACGAATGTATAATTGTACATATAATGCTAGATATATTTTGTATTGATTTAACAGTATTTAACTTGATGGTAAATCCTTAAAAATGAAAGTTAAATTTAACTTTGTGACAAACATATAATTATATTATTAACGTCTTGTAGAATGTACCCTGAATTAATAATGATAATGATAATAATAATAATAATAATAATAATAATAATAATAATAATAATAAGAAGAAGAAGAAGAAGAAGAAGAAGAAGAAGAAGAAGTATAACAACTATGGTTGAGTTGATAAATGATGCTATAGTCCATCACCGATGAGCGATAGACATCACAATGCTGAGCTGGTATCGCGATCATCCGCCCCGCTCCCGTTGCAAATCTGCTCGCAAGAAATACACACTTAAGGCTTGTACACATCGGGACACTTTTTGTTTGCGTTTATCATCAGCGTTTTTTGAGACGTTTTTCCGAGTTTAAACTCAAGCGATTTTCACTGCCGTCGAGCAGAAGAGTATGCGACTATTTGTCGCCTATGACGATGATGCCATCATCCATCGTGATGTTTCATATTAGACATTGTACGTACAATGCCAAATTGGTCGACATCGCCTAACCCTAATGACAACACATTGACAAAGGAATAATAAAGCCGTTGCTCTTCAATATTTTCATTTTAACTGGAATAAAATACAGCTTATTATTTATAAATAACATAACTAATATTTTCGGGCAATCCCCAAATATTTAAAACAATTGTGCGTTATATTTTAGGAACGCAGACACAAGCCAGAGTTAAGTGTTAATTGTCTTCAAATCTGCAGGGTTTGTGCAATTATGTGTTATCACATAAGCCGTCAGCTTCAAGCAAACAGTAAGCTTTACTGTCCAACATGACTCAGGAATCTTCTCCTACAATAGTCTGCTTGATGCAGTGTCACCTCTGACCTGCAATCATAGACGGCCAATGAACCTGTGTCATGGGGTGACAGCTTCCTGTGTCAGAGCCCTCTGTCTGAAAGTGTTCTTCCAAAGCAAACTCACTTCATTGTGTTTAAATGCTCAGTCAGCACCAGGAAGCTGTTTTGCGTGTTTGTCTAAGCCTGTGTGTGTAAGTTGACCTTACTGCAGTGCCATTAACAGCATGCAAAGGAGTTTAGTTAAGATGCTCCTTAATAGTCTGTTACTGGAGGATTATACTTTGGTGCATATTTTTATTCTTACTATATTAGTTTAATATATGTAAACGTTTCATGCAATTTAAAATACTGTACTAGTGTTTTGTATGGATTTTCTCAACAAAGGTACATTTACATAACTGGTAGTTCATTTGTGCTGGGTTAGATCCAACCTAAAGTTGATTTATACTTATGCGTCAAGTGCACCTGTAAGCTCTGGCGCAGCCTTCGTGCGGTTGCATAACCCTCACCATGGCTGATGCACATGTAACTACACGTCGCAACAATGTTTAGTGAAAGCTGTCTGATTGGTCGGCTTGGTAGCAGTGACGAACAGAGGCAGTGCTAAGAGTGATTGTTTACAAGTCCCATGAACAAGCTCCAGATGGAGCCTTTTGTTTTGTGATTAGCTTATGATTAAAGTTGTTGCATTTACGCATGTTCCCAGCTCTAAATGAATGAGGTTTAGCTACTTGTAGCGTTCAGAAAAAAAACTAAACACCATAGTTCATATATGTTTTGGTTGAAGTACAGACATTTAGCCATGAAAATACTACTCGTTAAGGCTGATTTATACTTCTGTGTCAAACGCACAGGTATGCTATGGCGCGGCCTACGCGTGGACGAATAGCCCTCGCCGTGGCTGTTAACGTCACTGACGCGACCTCCCAAAAAAATTTAACTACACGCCGCAACCATGCGTAGCGCAAGCTCTGTGATTGGTCGGCTTGGTAGTGCTGACGAGTGTGGGCGGGACAGAGAGCCTTCTCCAAATTCAACCAGAACAGGTCTGCCCTATAATGGAGTTCCTATAACAAGCCAGTGTGAAACAGTCTATGGACCTGGAAGAGTGCTTGGTAAAAGTTTATCAAAGTGAGAAAAAGTCTATTACAGGGGTGTCCAAACCCAGTCTTGGAGGACAGGTTGCTTGCTGAGTTTAGCTCCAACTTACTTCAACACACCTGCCAGGACGTTTTTAGTTGATCTAGTAAAATCTTGATTAGCTGGTTCAGGTGTGTCTGATTAGGGTTGGAGCTAAACTCTCCAGGACACCGGCGCTCCAGGATCAAGTTTGGACACCACTGGTCTATTACAAAACATTATCTTTAAACTGTAATGCAAAGCACAAGGGTATTAAGTTGCCTAATGAACTATTTTAGTCTCCCTGTCTTTATTATATTAATGTGGTTTGACATCATCTACATGGCACACTAACTTCTCCCCTTGAGCAGTTCCTCTCTCACACATACTTAATCAGACAGGAAATGAAACATAGAATTTGTCACCATCCAACCATTGTGCCAGATAGTCAAAATATCAACTTAACACACACTTATTTTGGATATAGAGCTAGGAGTGCACACCAACTGAATCCAAATTTGCCTCCAATTAACCTTTCTGAGCCTCTGTCGCTTTTCACTGATGCCTTTATGGACTTGGGATTGAGATGAACTGTGAACAGGTTCATAGAAGACATGTCAGTCTGGGTGTGTGCACATGTGTGTGGTCTTCCACTGGATTGGGTGTGCCTAAACCCAAAAAGTGCCAAACACAGCACATGATTATGTGTGAGAGTGTGTTGCTTATGTTATGCATATGTCTTAAATTGTACTTTCAGGCACTGAGCCACATCTGCATAATAATTGTGGAGACTAAGTTGTATTTTGGCTGCTCGCTCTCCTGCGTAACATTAGTAAAGTTTAATAACACTGTTAAAATTTCCTTTCTTCTTACACACAACCGCACTATTTTGAGCCTGAGACAGCCTCCATTACCATGACTACATGGTGAGCGCTGTTGCAGCCACTGGAAAAAAGGAATCAAGCTTGTGCCCGACATATGGGAGGGAGAGATATGATATCGGGACAACCATCTTTGCCACCCAAGCCAGACCAGAAACACTTAACTATGGACTGTTATCGCAGTAGGAACTGGAGTCCGGAGTATTGAACATGACCCACTGTGATCCTGAGGAATGGTGAGATACTGTTAGCCAGGATCTGAGAACTCAAGGGGTGTTGTGGATATCGAGAGAGAGGGTGGGAAGAGGAAAAAGCTGTTTGAGCACTGGCCTCCAGCTGTTTCCACCCTTGTCTAGTCCTGCAGGAAACACCTCTGCAACTGAGCCGTAGCAGCAGCCAACCTCTTACACTCTCTCCATCCATGTCAGCAGCTTAGAAAGTGGGCTATGTTTGATGACATGAACAAACAGCTCACGCCACTCTCTAACAGGAAGGACCGGAGGATGTGGCCGCAGTCAACAGTCCAAAAGACAAAGAAGGAAAAAGTGGTTTCTTGAAGACTGAATCTCAAAGGTTTTCTAAGTTATGAATGAGACATTTAAACACATGCCAGGCTGCTTGACTTCATCGATTGTAACGCTAGTGGCTCTTGCCAAAATTTCTGATAAAAACCAGGCCAGAGTACAAAGAATTGCATGTAGGATTTTAGGAGCCTCCTTTTGAGATTGAATGAAACTGATGGCCTAGTTAGCATTGTACTGCTCAAGGTTTGAGTTCCTTTGCATGATGCAAAGACAGATTGACATTAATTGCTGTTCTGAGAACAGTTTTCCCTGAGCACTAAAGTCTAACAGCACCACGTGACTTGATTCTCTTTAATATGGAACATGCTGTATGTCTGTAATCAGCTTTTGCAATATTGCCAAAACTCACCAAGACCTGTAACTTTCCATGGTTTCTTTGAAGCCAGCCAATTGGACACCGACCCAGAGCACTTACAACCTTTAAAAGTCTTTAAACACAAGCCCCTTAAGCAGTAATCAGCACCTACAGCCAAGCTTAAAAGAAATACTGTGACTAAACTATGAACTGTTTAGTGCACTGCTGCATATGGTGCATGTATTGGTGCGTGATGAATTGGGACAACATTTTGGCATCTCACCACGCATCCTTTTCATCTGAAGACACATACCTTGCATCACCTCTATAGGCTCCATCTGAGCTTTGGTCATTAAAAATACTCTAATTGGGCTTCTAAAGCATTTACAGATGGGGAAACGGAACAGATTCCAAACGTAGGCTTGTTAAAAACAAGTACATTGGTGCCTTGATCTTTAGTGAAAAGGATCTTATTTCTACTTGCAGTTATTTGAACTGATCTTAACGGGACAAACCTCTGCAAAATCAAAGACTAGATCCCACGCCCAGAACCTGAGAGGTTCAGAGACAATTAAGACCATACGGATGGATAATTTAAGCAAAACAGGACTGTTTCACTAACATTTCAATGAGCCTATTATGTGATTCATGTAAGCCGAAGCTACACTTAGATAAACTGAAATGCCAAACAAAAAACTGAACCACCATTGTCTGGTCAAGTCAGTCAATTCTCAAGTACTGACAATTAAAAGTTTTCGAGGTTCATGATACCAGCTAGATGAATATTTGGCTAACATCTGTGCACCATAAAAGCGTGTCCCTGTCACAGCCAATTATAGTGAAGAAACGCACTCCTACAGCATTCAGGGAATTGTAACGTATGAGAAGCACGACTCAATATTTCAATTCCAGCACAAAGAATTCAGATGTTATAAGAAATATGTTGTGGTGCTATCTGGAAGAAGTGGTCTTGGCTATCTTTTGTGCTTATCTTCACACCACCCCTTGCAATGCAAATAAAACACTGACTCTCTAATGAATAATGAGCTGACATTTCTCCTAAAGTAAAAAGCCGGTCTCTTTTTACATATGGTTCCACCAGACTCAATTTTCCCAAGCACAATCCAGCTAAGTGAAGCTTTGCTTACTCCAGGGAAAACCTGGAACTGACAACAGTGACATGTGGCTCAATTACAAAGTGTAAAATTCCTTTTTCCACAACCCTCCCCCTTTCTTTTTTTTTCATTTCAGAGTTGGTAATGGTGCAATTGAGGCAATATGCTCTGCATTAGCAAGAAAAAGATTATGCTTCATTTTGATGGATGAGTAATTTTGAGGAAAGGGGTGAAAAAGAGAAAGGGTGGGGTCTGGAGAATGTTGTGGTCTGTTTCCAGATATTCCAGATCCCCTTCCGACCTCAAACTCTGGATGGTCTTCTGTCTTCACTCCACTCAAAAGGCACCAGATAAAATCTGTTCTTAATGGTTACTTTGACAATCTGATAAATATGCGTCTAGTCAAGTTGAGAAACAGTAAAAAAAAAAATAAATAAAAAATGACATGTTTCAAAATGAAGAGTGGGAAATGCGGAAACTTGTTGGGTTGTTAATTGTTCGCATATAAAAACGGAAAATTTAATAAGTTCCTTTGGTGTTAACACTGTGTAAAAACCTTTGTTCTCTGCTATTAAAAGAACATCAAATGTTGTGAAGACAACCAGATTAATGCCAGTCGTGATCAAACGTCCTAAAGTAGGAAATTGCCAGACTTGTACACTTTCCCAACTCTAAAAAGACAAACTGTAAAGTATGTACTCACTATGCAGTAGGCCACCAGGGCTCCTTGAACAAAGCCAGCTAAGACATCAGTGGGGTGGTGCTTGTGATCAGACACTCGTGATAAACCGGTGTAGAAGGCCATCATCAGCAAGGTAAACTGGAGCAGGGGCCTCAGGAGACGGGCTCCTCGCCATGTGAATCGAGACTGTAGGTAGAACTGAGGAAACAGAGAGCACAAGCACTTTAAACAAAGTGTACACTTCATATTGGCATAGCATAACAGCTGATATAATAACTGACAGAAATTAGAAAATGAAAGAGCAGGAAATGGAAAAGTCTAAAGAGAGCGGGGATGGACTGAAATCCCACTTATTAAAGATGTGGCCTTTCTCACTCTTGTCACCTAAATCCAAGGACCTCTTTTAGGGTTTGCTTTCTGGGAACAGGAAGACTCATTAGGGTAAGAAAACAAATGTAGCGAGGGTTACAAAGATGAGGGGAGGATGGGGGTCAGGAGGACAAACTGTTGACGACGCTCTGGCGGGCCATCAGTCCTGAAACCCTTCAATCTGGGTCAGTCAAGGACCCTGCACTCATCACCCTTGCTTGATCATCCATCACAAGTGAGAAGGAAAACTTCCATTACGTTTGAAACCTCAACAGACATTAGAAATCCTTGCCCACACCCTTACTCACGGACAGTAACAGATAAACACAGATGCACACGCTCCAACAAGGCCCCAAATGCTCGTTAGACAAAACAAACAATAGTCATCTTGAGCTTTGAGTTTTCAAACAAAGGTGTGTGCAAGGTCATTTCTGCTTTCCTGAACAGCTCTCTCCGAAGGCATTGTGTGCGTACAGAGGAAGGAATCCCTCCCTGAGGATGTTTGGGAGTTGGAGTTTCCTTACTGGTCGAAGTTCTTAGATGATGCGAGGATGGGTGTGCCTCCACAAGTAGACTGACAGCTTCACAAACTCACTTTGAGTTCCCTGAGGTTATCACAAAGGTGATGCTGTTGTAATTTCCGGTGTATTTTATTGAACCAAAGAATAACTCTACTGCTGCCAGCACAAAATATGTTCACACCACATCAGAGGGAGCAAAACTAAAGATAAATGTAAGCATCCTCAAGAGTTTTCAGTTGATCTTATCTCATGAAAACATCCCTTCAGAACGGAAGGACGGTAGGATGGATGCGATTGGCATCTATGTGTGTTTATAGATGGCTGTGCGTTGTGGCTCAGACCAACTGGAATCAACATATGGCTTGTTCTCTTATCATTTCATTTTACATTGTGGCCAGGAAGTCCTTATAAAAATGGTGAAACAAATCTACTAGTTGTTTTTGCCTGATTCAGCAGTTGATTCTTTCACGCTACTCTAAATAAGCGATTGAGGTTATAGCTGGATAAAAGTTACATTTCTGAGCCAGATGTCCCAGATGAAATGGAGATACTAGCTTGATTATATGGCTCAAGTTCATCTGAGGCAAATAATAAATAAATAAATTCATGCTCATGTTCATTCTGGTTCAGCTCGGCCTCAGTGTTGGCAGCAATGAGGGAATTTCGAACCAAGAAGCTGTAGCCATTTCAACCACAAACTTTCATACACTTGGCATTCCTATCCCTCCAAAAAGATCCTGTGGAGAGCTTACAAACGAATGTGTTAATAATGTCTTTGATCAGGCTATATGAATGCCATGGAATATTTAAACACCACAGATATGTGGCTTAAGGAGACTGTCTGTCTGCTTTAGTATATCAGACACACTGATGTAATTGTAAACAAAAATACAGTGGGTTAATAAAAATTAAAAACATTAAGCTCACTGGGGATTTCCTTTCCCTTTTTATCGCCTTTCATTATAAGACATTTACAAATTCCAGATTTTAATGTTCTTGCATCTTCTGGATTAAAATCCAAATTAACAAACATATGTTGAACTGTAATAATAGCTATTTCTTCATCCAAAGATGCTAATTATACTATTAAAACGTAAATCACATGACTTTTTTTTGATGCACTTATTGGAATTTATTCTGTAAATGCATTTGTAGTTTATGCACATTTTTTTTTATATAAGATAAAAAGTTTATCCTGCTCAGTCATAGTTTATGCACATCAATATTCCAAAATGTGCATAAAGATATGTGGATAGAAACATAGCTATTGTTGTGCTCTCTATTGCTTAAACTGTGTAAACTATTTTGCGCAACGCAGAACAATGCATGTCAACAAGCCACAACAAAAACAACACAGCTAGGGCCTCTTGATGGCATCTGCCATAAGCTTAAACAAAAAAAAAATCTGCTATTTATATATTGAACATTTTTTATACTGAAATTTTCTACACTAAGACAGCAGAGAGATCTCTGGTATATGTTGGACTTTGAGAGGTCACAGAAGGGTGACGTCCGATACCTAGGGAGCCCTGCTGAAGCTCATCTCTTAAGCTGCAAGCCAGCATGTCTAAGTCTGAAGATGTAGAGATGCTCTGTGATTTTTCCAAACTCCTAAAGTGGCTCTGTTCCTGAGGGCGAAAGTGGGATCCTCTCCACACGTACTGTAGGCATCCAAGAGCTGATAAGAACAGCAGAGCTTAAGGACCCTCAGGGCTCAGATACAGTCCGTCAAAACTGCCTCTTAATGTCTTGCTATCAGAGCTCAGATAAGGTCAACGTGCCGCAGACACTGCGATCAGAGACGACGGTGTGTATATGGCTCTCTGGTATCTGTGCTTGAAGGTGGTGGCAGCAGAACTGGCAGACGTGGTGTGGTCTGAAATTCTCCATTGACATCCAACCCCAAAACACAAACACACACACACACACACACACACACACACACACACACACACACACACACACACACACACACACACACACACACACACACACACACACACACACACACACACACACACACCCCCTGTGCCCACATGGGATGAAACACAGCCTCATGCAGATAACATTCGACTCTGCTGACAGTCTCCATCCAATCCCTTCCCTGAAGGCTATCTTGGTTGTGCCATCAGATCTGATACTAAGGTATCAAGATGGACAATGATAAAGATCCTTGAGACTCAGGGGGCATTATAAGGAGAATTTTTCCAACATTTTGAAATTTTATGTTGTTCAGATGGGCAAAAAACTTGGAAGCCTTAGCTTGTCAGTGTATTCCAAAATCGATTCAAAAGCACCATGGGATGTCATGAAAGTCTAATGAAATATTTCCCGTAAACCTCACTGGTTCTTTTAGAGATGCTAAAGTTTTGGTGGACTGGACATATATGTAATTACATTTCAGTTTTTCAAGAATTTAAGTCTTGAGGGACTGTAAACAATTGAATTCTTAAATGAACTATCCCTTAAGAAACCTGGTCAGCTAGATTTTTGAAAGAACGATGCAGACAGATTCATATCAAAACTCACAGGCGTGAGTAGAGCTATGAAAGAAGTACATTTTTTAGCCTAAAGCTACTTTCACTCTGTCTAGCACAAATCTACTATGGCTTCAAATGAGTTTTATAAAAAAAACGTCATATCAACCATTTTAAATACTTATTTTGTGCTTTGCTTTCTTTTAGAAAACTGAAAGTTTCATTCCAGTTTACAATCATTACTTGGTAATAAAAATCAAGCAGAAAAGTACTACATTAGATTGAATACTTGGACCGTGTTCTAATTGAAGTTATGGTTTAGTATACTAAAGAAATATCAATAAGGAAAACTTAATAAGATATTAAGTTGGATAGCATTTGACCCAGACTTTCAACCGTGTACACTAGATACAAGATTTAAACATTGGCAGGAGGAATAACGTCATTCAGTTCAGTGACCTCTAACGGACATTACATGAGTTCTCAGACCTTATCAGATACATTTGGCCTAGACAAGCAGGACTATTACAGATACTTGCAAGTTAGAGATTACTTTAATAATAATTTAAAAAATAAATAAATTTAAGGATGATCCTAATTTGAGCACAGTATTTGCAGATGCATACATAAAAGAAAAAAAAAACTGGTCTCTAAATTTTATAAAAGCATACAAAACAGTAAGACTCATTTTTTAAATTACATAAAACAAAAATGGGAGAGTCAAACCAACAAATAACAGACGAAGACTGGAGAGATATGTGTGTCACACAAGCAAAAACCACAAACTCAAGAACTTGGAGAGAGTTTGGATGGAAAAATCTGATGAGGTTCTTTATAACTCCTAAACTGTCTGCATTGTGTACAGGTGTTGAAAGTTTGGGCTCTTGTTGGAGAGAATGTGGAACCTCAATGGCTAACCTAAAACTTCAAACCTTCTGGTATGAAATAGCGACTGAAATAAAAAAGATAATTCAACTACTCATTTATTACATTATATCTTGGGAAAATACCAGTAATTATTCCAACTATTGACAAATTCTTAGTTCAAATCTCTTTGGTAAGTAGCAGAAAAGCCATAACTAGAAAATGGTTTCAGGCTGATCCTCCAACAAGGGCTCAATGGATAGGAATTGTAAAGGAAATACACTGTATGGAGAGACTCACTTTTAATCTACTGTTTGATTAAAAAAAAGTGTAACAAGTACTGGAAAAAAGTTAACTGAATATGTCATTGTAATCAATTTGTGATAATGTCAAATGTATTATGACTTGATTTGTATTATCAACCGCTTTGTTCTTTGTTCTTTGTTTTTTATTTTTATTTTTTTTCTCTAAAAAAAAAAGTTGCATTCCCAGTTCAATGTAACTGTGTGACCTGTTCTTTGAAAGAAAGTCATGAACGAAAGGGTGAGTAAACTTTATTTAAGCCCAGTGATTGACCTCAGGTCTAATGAGCAGCCACAAAATGGCATGTTGAGTCCAACTTGGGATGGGAAACAGAAAAGGCATGAGAACTGTGGTATAATAAATCATGTTAGTTTAATAAAAAAAGGTGAGTATGAGGTGAAACTACACTTATTTTGAAATATTTTAATAGAAAAAAAAAAGGTCTGTGCTTGGTTTGTGGGTCATTTTAAATGCTGTTTGCACTTCATTCATGCCAATTCTGGTAGAAAACTGCAAAACTTCACCACTAAAGCCTTTTCTATAGTCCAACAATATTAAAGCGGAGCCATGTTAACGACCACAACATAAAGAAAACTAAGCCTACAACAGTAGTTTAAAGACTTGACAAATCCTCTATGAGTGATTTTTGCTTTTTCTGTGATCTCTTATCATTCAACGCCTGCTCTCTAGTCACAATAGCAAAATAGAGTATCATGAATCACTGTGCGGTCTGGGAAGTGCAGTGACTCCACGGCCAAACCTCATGGACTATGGAGTGTGGAGGTCATAGAGAGGCTGGGAAATGCCCAGCTTGTGCCCACAAAATACCCACATGCACTTGCTCTACAGCACAAACTGATATGCTGATCCAACTTAATGGTTGACCAGCAACTCATAATACCCTTGTAAGCTGTATAAAGTGTAGTCCTATTGGCCACTCTAGGGGGCAGAGTTCTACTTGGTAATATACTTCATAATTTTACCACTTTTTATAGTTGCCATGTCAAATACAATGACTAGACCTTATTTTCAATCATTTCCTTATTCAAACAATAATTATTTATTTTAAAAAGTACAATAATTTGACATTTTTCTAAAAGGTTAGTCCACTTATGATTAAATATACACATGATAATTCATAATAATAATTTAAATAAGTTACAAAAATATATGCAACCACTTCGAATTATAAGGACAACTTGGGGCCAACTGAATTGAACTAGACTGCATAAACATAGGCACCAAGTTAGGATTCCATATGACATAGTTTGACTGGTAATTAGTCTTGCTTTTGGAATCAATTTACACTGATTAACATTTTTGTACAAACCAGGCTTATTCTGAAAATGTAGTACCGTGGACGCTTCTGGAGACCGCGAAATACGTCCCGGGAAGTACGTATTTTTTCCGTCTTTGTTTTTGTAAATTTGCGAGAGGCTGCTGTTTGCGCTTTTTCATATCTCGAATGTCTCTCTCGAGCGCAGTTTGAGCCCGTGCTGTTCTCGCGTAAACTCACCAGAGGCCGCTGTCGGTCGACCGTCTGTCTGACTGAATGATTGACAGGGCGACCGGCCAATCGACTGACCCACTCTCCGCTTTCCCTGAACACAACCGAATTTACAGATTGACCCGCCCACCAATTTACTTCCCTAAACCCAACCAACAATTTACAAAAGCTGTCCAATAATAAAAAAAAGCATTTTCGGATTTTTACAGCATTCTCAACCCTGTTTATTCACTATTTGTTGGATTCTGTTTTTGTCTTACCTGGTCTTCCCCTGACTGGAACCCGGTCGCCCTCGTCGTAGTCAACTACTCTCTGCCTCTTAACGTGATGAGCTAACTGGACGACGAGCTAACTGGTCAAAATGGTTGCAGAGGGAAAGCCCTCCACACGGTGGTAAACGGTCAGCCGGTAAGCTCCAAAAGGAATGGCGTAACACCGCCCTGCAGCTTTCGCTTAAAAAAATGAATTGCAGCCATATGTACCTCTGGCTACGGACTCCAGAAACGTCCGCGGGACTACATTTTCAGAATAAGCCTGTGTTGTTTTTTGTAACTGCCTTTAAATAGCTATAACCAGGATAAAAGAAAATAATTAGTGATTAGATTAGTCTTAGCAGTTTTAGCAAATGGCCCCTGATCTATTTACAGATCTATTAACATTTAGTGGTTGGTTCAGTTATTTTAGTCTACTATAATAACTAAAATAATAATTGTTGCACTTGTAAAAGTACCCTAAAATGACATTAAAATCCCTGAATTAAAAAAAAAAAGTTTATAAAGAGGGGAAAAAAAGAGATAAAGTTACTGAAGCGTGTCACTGACAAAACAGGTGTGGGTTTAGTCTTAGCATTCTGTGCCAGAATGATTCATTTGTGAAATCGGTTGAGAACAGAGACTGCCTAGTTCTGACCTGGGTTACGTTTGTGCAAATAACAAGGCATCACAAGACCGGTGTGAGCTCTCATTATGACTTCAGCGTCTGACCTGTGAAGCATGACATCTAGACTGAGATAATTACAGAGAGTGAGGCCAAAAAGAGGAACGCTCCAGTCAATAAGACGGTATCGCTCGATCAGTCTATGCCAAGAAAACTATCCTTCACTTTCAGCTCTGTTTATCTCGCTTCATACTATTTTTAATAGGCCTCTTGTTTTTAGAAACAGAACGTTTAACTATCTTGGAAAAGTCACTGTGTATTTTAACAGCCTATTCATGTGCAAATATTTCATAATGAAGTGTGACCAAACTCTGGATTGGACAGTGAAAAAATCTAATCATGGCATCTAAAGTTACAAATAATGACATCTTACTAGTGATCATGTGCTGAATGTTAGTCCACCATCTACACTTTTCCAAGAGTAGAAGACTTCCAGTGGCTTCAAGTCCGCCATAAAAAGTCAGTGGGATGTATTTTTCAGGTAACTGCTTGCCACATCTAGCACGAGAGCTTCTGTTTAATCCTTCATATAATCGCCAGATGCTGTCCGCCGTGCTAGTGGCAGATATATGTCAAATTACACCACGTACACTATTGCAAACGGGCTTGCACTGAGTAAACTTACATCGCTACTCCTAAAAAGACAGATATTGCTATTAACATGTATGCATATAATAAGGTACAGTATATGTCAAAAGCATCAGGGCAATATCAGACAGCACTTGTGAGAATAGCACAATTATACCGTTAACATATTCATTCAAGCAGTGTGTGCAGGGCCGGTGAGTGCCCCGTGCTTTGGTCACTCAGTTCTGTTATAAAATGTATTTTCTTGTGATAACTGGATTTTGTTGAGACATATTTTCCTCATGCTTGCATATATATATTATTATTATTATTTTTTTTTTTGCTTGTTAGTTTGATTAGTGTTGATTTCAAATACAATAAATAAGTTTGTATAAAACTTGTAGTAACGGTGCTCATAATTGGTGGGTGCGACTAAATTTTGCCTGATGCGCCTAACTTTTTAAAGTTAGGAGCACCGGTGCTACCAAGCAAAAAAGTTAATTTCGAGCCCTGTAAGGGACTGAATAATGACATGTAACATTTTCTGACGTTTTTCCTGCCAAGTCACGATGGTTTACAATCCAGGGTAAAAACGTATCGCTTTAGCACGAAAACACTCAACAGCGCCTGCCAGGGATCCTGGTTCCTAACATAAGGTTTCCTCTGGTATAGAAAATGTCCAGGTCAGTGTTTTTCAGGCACCAGGCCCAGCTGTCAAACTCTCACATTAACTTAACGGCTGTTTGGAAAGCATAAAGCCAAGAGTTTTAACAGGTCTATGGCCCCAAACACACTGAAATGCATACATGCCCCATCTTTTTTCTCTCTCAAATAATCTCTGAAAACGCTGAGAATGAACATCTGGCAACCTCTATTAGCCGAGCGGCTCCACCTCCTGCCATCTGAAAGAGGGAAAGGTGGAGGGGCCCATGGAGATGCTGATGATTTAGATGAAGGAAGAAAGGATCAGAAAGAAAGGAGGGAGGGTGGAGGGTCTTGTGTGTGAAAGGGAGAAAGTTTGAGCCCTTTGAAAGAGGCTTTACATACAGTGGGAGACTGAGCAAAAAAAAAATCTGCCTTTGTGTGTATGCAAAGCTGTATTGGGGATTCGTCTATTAAAAAAAAGTGTGACCCTTTAAAAAGAGTATCAAAATAAAGAATAGGGAATGAAAGAGAGAGAGGATTTTTAGAGAGAAAGGGAGAGAGAGGATGTCTGTGCAGCTGCACAAATAAAAACAGGTGGAGTGTGTCCATCTGGGAGATGAACAGGGAAAATAAGTGTGACCCACATTTCGGGAGGCACACAGAGGAAGGGTGAAAGGCGATAGAGGGTCGCTGTTTCGTACTAGACATAACAGTCATGAATGAACAGCTCTTTATACAGCAACAGAGCTGTGACAGTGTGAGAGCACCACATAGTGTGTACTTACTGCCAGGTAGAGCATGGTGTACATTGAAAATGAAGCATGTCCGGAAAAGAAGGATTTCCTGCGGAGAGAGAGAAAGAAAAAAAAACAAATAAAAATGTGTTTTATTATAAAATTATAAAAAATACAAAACATAATAATAATAATAATAATAATAATAATAATAATAATAACTAATAATAAATAAATCGATTTTACAATCTAAAAAAATAAATAAAACTAAACATATCCATATTTGCGTTATACTAAAATTTAATTAAGTAATGTTTCATAAACATTAAAAAAAAAAAAAAAAAAAAAATGAAAACTGTTGCTGCACTTTCTTGGAGATTTTTTTTCCAGGATTTGTTTAAAGGGACTTTTTATTTTTAAAAGAAATTAATATCTTCTGGAAAACAAATATTTGATAAAAAATGTGTTTATTATTAAATGCAAAAAAAATAAAAAAATACATAATAATATTTATAAAAAAATGTTATGAAATTTATAAAAAAAGGGAGGGAAAAAACAAAAAAATACATAAAATAATAATGATAAAATGTTGATTTATAAATGCAAAAAATACACAATAGTAATAAAATTAGCAATAATGTTTAAATAACTGACTAATTTGTATTTTCAATCTTAAAAAATAAATAAAAGTGACATCCATATACGCACTATACTAAAATGTAATTATGTAATATTTAATTAATAAATACAATTTTAATACTTCTTTTTTGAAAACAGTGTTGCTGCATAATATTTTTTGCTGTGATATTTATTTTTTAAAGTGTTTATTATTAAATGCAAAAATATATAATAAAATAATAAAATAACAACAACAACAACAACAACAACAACAACAACAATAAAATAATAAATACATTTGGTAAATTTCTGGCTAATTTGATTTTGCGAACTAAAAATAGGGAATATATCTATATACACACTATACTGAAATGTAATTATGTAATATTTAAATAATAAAATTTATAATATTTTTTAGTACATCTATGTTGAAAACAGTGAAGCTGAGAATTTTTTTTTTGTGAGATTTTTTCAGGATTCAAAAGCACTGTTCTTTTTTTTCCTCTTCTTTTTTATCTGTTATATCTGTATATCTTCTGGAAAAAAGCAAGACTTAACTACTATAATTTTAGCAAAAATTGCTCTATTAAATATAAAGCCTTAAAAAACACATTTCTGAAATTCAGAAATACAGCGAAATAAGCTACCGATATATTAAAAACATAACAAATAAAAAAAACAACAAATAAATTATAACGTTTCAAACATATAAGCATACATTTTACTTCCACTCATTCTTCAACAAATCTAAAATTTATAGTATTGTAAATGATTGCATAGGGTGTAACTAAGGGTGTAATGATACGTGTATTCGTATTAAACCGTTCAGTATGAGGCTTAAGCGAACGATTCAGACTAAGATCTGAAAAGTCAAACGAAAATAAAGCGTCTAAATATAATGTTTTCAGTGCAACTATGCTCAACAAGGCATCCCAAACGACTCAGGCACACGCTGCACTAGCTCATTGCAAAATGGCTATAACATTATTGTTATCCTCCTATAACCAACAGCAGGTCCGCCGTTTGGGAGCACATTGGTTTTCCTGTAAGTTATGAGGGTGATGGCAAGAGAGTGATGGATAAAATAAACAATGATATGTCACATCTGCTATGAGCGTAAGCTACATAAAGGATAATACTTAAACATGTCAACTCATTTACGGTAGTGTGTCAACAACTGGAGTTAGACGAAAACTAGAAACTACAAACAACTACGCCTGCGGCATTCATACAGGCACTTCCCACAGATTCGAACAGGGCAAAACAAATCACAGAGGCGATCTGTACATTTATAGCTGTGGATATGAGACCTTAATTTGTGTTTTAAGAAATTTCAAATGTAATTGAGCCCCGTTACATTATTCTTTCATAAGCCCATTTCAGTCACACAATAATTCCTGCTTTCAGATCCACTAAAATGGCAGGTGACAGTCAAATCAAGCAGATCTGTGCTGTCTGAAGAAAATGTGGAAACTTATTGTTCTAAAAAATAAAAAAAATACTTAAAAATTGATTGAAACCGAGTTCCATTTCGCCACCACTGTGTCATATGAAACCGAACCGTGATTTTTGTGAACCGTTACACCCTTAGTTGTAATGTTTCATATATGTAGAATGTGACACAAAGCAAGTAAGCAGTGATATTAAAAGTGCTGAATATCTCACCTGGCCTCTTGAACTTTACTGGGATCTCCAGTGCATGTGTATTCAGTAATATATCCCAAAGAGCAGTCGATAGTAGAGTAGTTTGGCCGACAAACGTCTAGGAAGTGCGGTCTCATGCGTCCAACCGAGACCTTGGCGATGTCTGTGAACGACTGGCTGACAGCGCAGCCGAAGATGAACACTCCCACTTGTCTGTAAAGGGCGGAGACATACGGGTTTCCCACAAACGATTTGGAGCCCTGGCTCAGGTAATGGATCCTGTAGCATTCGCCAATCACAATCTGGAGAACGATTCATTCACAGAGAACAAAAATCAACCATAGCACAGATTAATACAACAAACAGGCTCTGTTCCAAAACCTAGAGTGTAACATCTTTTACGAAAATGCCAAATAATTGCGAAATAAAACAAATAAGAAAAAAAATTATTAGACATACTGTGAAAATTTCCTTGCTCTGCTAAACATAATTTGAGAGATATTTAAAATAGAAAAAAAATCCAATGGCGGCTAATAATAATGATTTCAACTGTATATACACTTTTACACGTTATAAGTTATGAAGGCTGTTAGCTTATCAAATTGCTAATGACAAACTGCATGGAAATTAAATGGAAGTTGAGCCAATTTGTGTGATGCTTGGATTTGCTTCCAATACATTCATACTATATTTATGTGAACAGTAGTATGATGAGAATAAGAGAAGTATGTCGATGATACCAAGATGGAATCTGCTCCAAAAAAGTTGCAGATTTCCATGATTCAATCTATTCATTTACTTTTTGAACTGTGTACATTTATACTTATTCTGTTTTCATCTTAATTTCAGTAATATTATGCAATAATATGAAAATATTTAGACAATTTATGTACTATGCAATATGCTAAGATTTTAGTGGTTGTATTATATGAGAGAGTACTATAGTTTTGTTTACCAAATAAGTAATTAAAGTCGAATTTGCAATTTAAACAAACTAAATGTTAAGTCGTTATTTTTTGTTACGTTTTCAGCTCTTATTCACCTTATTCTTAGTACGAGCGGGCACAGCCTTTTGAATATTTTTGGCTCGAAACTTAAGACGTTAAAAACAGCTTGTTATGCTGCTTAACCCTTTGATAAGCTATAAATCAGATATAGAAAAAATGAACTTAGACGCGTCATTTTAGACCCATGTAGTGCATCAAAGGGTTAATGTTGCAAACTGACATTGTCTTATTATAAGATTCTGCATTGTCTGTGTAATCATGCAAACAGTTGTTTGTAGAGCAAGTAGTTTTACCGTTTTCTCCAGTTTATTATTTCGAATCATTTCTCCAATAGCCTCCTAGGGCTTAGTGGCCACATACGTGGACAGCACATTTTAGCTCTTATGCCTTATGTCTTACATTTTAAATTTTCTTACAGACATATAGTGTCATCCTGCAAATGTTTTGCAGCATATGAAATGTCCCAAACCCTATTTAAACTGTCCAAAATGGGCAAAAAATGTTGTTTTTACTAATAGTCAAAACATGTTAAAAAAATATGTGTATGTGTTATTAATGCATTTAAAAACAGTCAGGAAAAACTGCTGTGTTCAAGGCAGAATTTTTTTTCATTCTATAACAAAAGGTGACTTTATTGTGTTTTATAGACAATCGGACCCTGAGTCCATATATATGCACATCATTTTTCTCTAAAAGTACATCTTATCAAAAGATGATAATTGGGCTTTATTCTAACTAGGTTCCAATAGCCCAAATAGCAAAGAAAAAATAAAAAATGCAAGTACAAATACATTTTGAGCATTAAAAGGATATGGGGGCTTATTGGGAAGTCCTCAAACAATCACAAAAATGAGCGCGCCTTCGCATTGAATAAGAATAAGGTCAATAAGCTTAAAATAAAACTGCAGAAATCAACAGATTTCTTTACAAAATTCTGCATAGAAATATCTAATAAAATCTGCAGGTTCTGTCTGGACCTATGAGGTCATGGAAGATCGGAAAAAAGTGATGACACTGGTAGGTCATGTGACAATAATCGCATATGAGATGTAGTATGCTATAACTACATAGTACAAAATCGAATGTACTACCTATTCAGACAATGTGTGGTTGTTTATTTATTTATTTTTGGATGTACTGGAAGCATTTAAAATGAGCAGATCGCTGTTTAGGAATTGTAGCAAGATGGCTCCCTAGATGTTGGAACAGAGCTATAATATCAAAGTACATTTTGTGAATGTGTGAAATCACACCAGAAAAAAAAAAAAAAAAAAGTGTCATTATATACTATTAAACGTTCGGTGGTCAGGTCATGGGCATGCAGAGTGAGGTTAGACATAAACATGCAGATGAGGAATCAGTAGCACATTAACAAACAAAAAAAGCAAGAGGAAAATGAGAAAGAAAGGAGAACACAGGAGTTATGACTGAGCATGGCCTGCCTGTTACTAGTGATACTTTAATGATATGGAACAAGTTTAATGTTTCTGAAAGTTATGGCTTTCATATGAGAAGTCAGAGCATGGGGTTTTAAAAGCGGAGGTCTGCATCATTCGTAACCGGCAGGATTTAAATCAGACTGCATAGGCAGAGGTTATGAAGTACATAAACTATGCCTTAATGAGATATTTACTATCTCACATGTATTTTTTTTGTCTCTTCAAAATGTAGAGGGGTGCTTTTGTGGTGGTAGTGAAGAGCGGGACTGCCTTCCCCGGGGCCTAACCAAACTAGGACTGGAGACAGTGCTAATTAACTACAGCTGTGTGAGGGGTGCCAACACACACACACACACACACACACACACACACACACACACACACACACACACACACACACACACACACACACACACACACACACACACACACACACACACACACACACACACACACACACACACACACACACACACACACACACACATATATATACATACACGCACATATGCAGTCCTTGTTTTAATCATAAGAACTGCTGAGCATGGGAACATGTCTAGTCCAGACAGTGAGGCATGCATGTCTCCATACGGGATCTCCATGGAGTCATAGTTTGGTGTTGGGCCAGTGTTCAGGGGATTGTATTTTAAGACTACTTCCCTCATCTTCCACCACTTTGTTCCATTTGGGGTTCGTCTGATGTGTTGGATTTTGGCTGTTTTGGAGTTCCATGTGAGCGCAAAAGTCATTGCGCTATCTGGTTTAGTGTTGCATTAGCTCTTGTTCGTCATTTAACATGTGCCCTGCAGGTGACAGAGTTCATTCGCGAGAAGTTAACTCTTCGCCAGCTGTCATGAGGGCTACGAATGTCCACTAATTCAACACCTCGGCAGCTGTGAGTGTGTGTGTGTGTGTGTGTGTGTGTGTGTGTGGGGGGTGTTTAATGTCTTATCCAGATTTATTTAAAGACTCTAATTGAGTTTTGTGAAAGTTTAGGCAACCTTTTTTGTGTGTGTTGTGTGTGTTTAGCATTTAGTTTTGTTTTAATTAGCATTTGGGGATCAAATTTAAGTAACTGGATGAGTAGATAAAACTCAAACCACCTTTCTCCACAAAGTTTTTGTCATTATATTATTAACAGGGATGCACTGAAATGAAAATCCTCCCAAAACCAAACATTCTAGATGCACATGACACAAACTGAAAATGCTTTGTAATAATTATTATGCTTTTGTTAAATAATATAAAGCGATTTTTTAAGAGTTTTTAAATTTAACTCATTAGCTTAACTTACAGTGATTTAAAAAAAATAAAAATAAAAACTAAAATAAAACAAGGCAATAATATAACCATATCTGACAACTCTAAAGGCATCATTTTACCAGCATTGCCATAACAGCACAGTAGTGCTTTTGCAAACATGTACACTCACTGGTCACGTTATTAAGTACACCTTTCCAGGTTGGACCCACTTTGTCCTTCAGAACTGCTTTAATCCTTCGTGGCATAGATTCAACAAGGTACTGGAAATATTCCTCTGAGATTTTGGTCCATATTGTCATGATAGCATCACGCAGTTGCAGCAGATGTGTCGGCTGCACATCCATGATGACAATATCCCATTCCACCACATCCCAAAGGTGCTCTATTGGATTGAGGATCTGGTGACTGTGGAGGCCATTTGAGTACATTGAACTCATTGTCATGTTCAAGCATGATTCACACTTTTTATTTTTATGACATGGCGCGTTGATCTGCTGGAAGACGGGTACACTGTGGTCATTAAGGGATGGACATGGTCAACAACAATACTCAGTTAGGGTGTTCCGTTGACACGATGCTTAATTGGTACAAATGAGCCCAAAGTGTGCCAAGAAAATATCACCATTACACCACCAGACTGAACCATTGATACAAAGTAGGATGGATCCATGCCTTCATGTCGTTGACGCCAAATTCTGACCCAATCTTCTTCTCCAATCTTCTATTGTCCAATGTTGGTGAGCCTTAGCAAATTGTAGCCTTAGTTCCCTGTTCTTAGCTGACAAAAGAGGCGCCTGGTGTGGTCTTCTGCTGCTGTAACCCATCTGCCTTAAGGTTTGATGTGTTGAGCTTTCAGAAATTCTCTTCTGTATACCTCGGTTGTAATGAGGGGTCATTTGAGTAACTGTTGCCTTTCTATCAGCTCGAACCAGTCTGGCCATTCTCCTCTGACCTCCTCTGGCATCAACAAGGCATTTGCGCCAACAGAACTGCCCCCCATTGGATATTTTCTCTTTTTCAGGCCACACTCTGTAAACCCTAGAGATGGTTGTGTGTGAAATCCCCAATAGATGAGCAGTTTCTGAAATCCTCAGACCAGCACCGATTACCATGCTACGTTTAAAGTCATTTAAATCCCCTTTCTTCCCCACTCTCGGTTTGAATTGCAGCAGATCATCTTGATCAATTCTACATGCCTAAATGCTTTGAGTTGCGGCCATGTGATTGGCTGATTAGAAATTTGCGTTAAAAAGCTGTTGGACAGGTGTACCTAATAAAGTGGCCGGTGAATGTCCATATTACATAGATATGTCCAGTCAGTGTGTTATTTGAACAGTTTTCTGTTTTTCAATGAAAATGTCATAATTTTGGCTGTTTATACTACTTTGGACCAAAATTCTAATAAGATGCATCCCTAATATTGTAATTTTACCATTTTGAACAATAACTTAGCATTGCTGTTTCTGCGTATAACTTTTCTGACCAAACGTCTAACTCAAAAACAGCAATGCATCACAAATCACATGCAGACAGAAGACGATGAAATAGAAAAGAGAGAATGAGATCCAAAGGGGGAGACAGAGAGAAAGAGAGAGAGAGAGAGCGAGAGAAAGAGAGAGAGAAAACAGAAAGCCAGAGGTAGCCCTGACCATGATGAGCTACTCAACTCATTTTAAATAAAAAGATGGAATGGGGAGGACTGGTTAATGGTTTCAAACATGATTATGGATGCGCTAAAAAGTCACTATTTATTCCTACAGTTAATCTACTGATCTAATAGGGGGGGTGAGGGATGTAGATGGGATGTTTATATGGATAAGTGGTAGATTTATATGAATATATATATATATATATATATAAGAGTAACTTACGGAGAAGATGACAATTAGAATGCCAGCGGCACAGAGCACGGCATCGCTTATGGTGTCCCCGTTTTTATACGGGTACTGGATGGACTGGTCACTGCAGTAAAACCCGCGGTGGTACGGCTTGATTGTGCTAGTTTCAATTATCAGGAAAGGCAGGACAGCTACAGCAAAACACACACACACACACACACACATAGATAGAGGGAGAGAGGGGGAGAGAGAGAAAGAGAGAGATTTCAGGTCAGTCTCAGAAAGACACACGCAGGTAGCGGCACAGCACAGCACAGCACACAGCAGCCGAGGATTATGGGAAATACCAGGTAGGACGGAGGGGGGGTGCGACATGGTAGCTCAGTTTCTAAGAGAGTCGAAATGTATATTTAGTCTGTCAGCAGTTGGTTCTTTCAGCTATCCACCTTTTTCAGCATGTGATGACTGCAAATATATCAGCCTGACCTCCTGAAAAAACGTATTTTACGTGTCGTTAGTTAAGTGGCTAATTCGTTACAATTCGTACAAGTTCAGTTGTACGAAATTTCACGATTTTAAAAAGGAGGCGTGGCACCCAATCCCACTCTAAACCCAAACATCATTGGGTGATGAGCAAATTGTAATAAATTTTACGAATTAGATCGTACAAATTCATACGAATTAGCCATTAAATCCATTTATAGATTAAGCCATTAATAGAGAATTATAGAATAGAATAGAATTAGCCATGAATAGAGTTATAAATTGTCGTGAGATTGTGTTGGATATATAAGATAATGAATACTTTGGATTTTAAGATTGTGTTATAAATAATCCACATAGTGAAAACAGATTGGGAGGTTGCATTTGTGCTATATATTTATATTTGGGTCCCACTTTATATTAAGCGTCCTGAACTACTATGTATTTACACAGAAATTAATAATTCATTACAATGTACTAATTGTGTAAATACATGTATTTACTGAGTACTTATGCTTGATTACCTGTATACCTGTATGTAATTACATCTGTATTAAATTCTGTAATCACATTTGTAAATACACTGTTGACTATGCCTTGCACCTTAACGCACCCTTAAACTTACGCATACCACCAAACATGTCCATAACCCTACCTCTATACCAACTCAAGAGCACCACAAGTGTTCTCAAATACATTATGAACAGAGTAAGTACATTGTATCTATTTTTTTGTTGCAAGTACATAGCAGTTAAGGACACTTGATATAAAGTGGGACCTATATTTGCTTCATATATGCGCTTGGTATTTCAATCTGTTTTGCTCCTATAGGTTATTTACCTTTAGCATTCCCTATACAATACAGTTATATTAAGTATACATCTATAATATTGCTGCAATATTTGGTTTTTTATATTCAATGGATGAACTGTGAGGAAAATATTCATTTTGGTTTACAGTATAATGGAAGTTACGCTCATAATTCATGCACTGCATCACGTGGGTAAGGAAAAGGGTGGATATATTATCTATAAAATACAAAGACTCTCTCAAAAGACTGATTTTCCGATGCGGTCACCCCGCTTGCCTGGCCCCATGTCCTCCGTCTTTAGGCCCTTGTGCAGGGCACTTACGCTGGCAATGGGCAGGAGGAGGCCCACAGCTGTCAGAACAGAGGAGGGCACAGTGCTGTTTTTATAGGCGTAGCGGATACTGTCGTCTGAGCAGTAGAACCCACGCTGGTACGGCTGCACTGTCGATTTATGCAACACCATCGAGGGCAGCATGACTACGCAAAAACACACACACAGACCCCGTGGGGTGGGTCATGACACACACTTACCTGAGAGGGTAGGGATTGTTGACATGACTAATGTTCATGAAGCTTTTTTAGAATTGTTAAAAAAAAATAAAATAAAACACATCACAAATTCAGTATTTTGTTTCTTATTTAAAAGCAGAGATTTGATTTAAGAAGCTCGATTTCGGAAAAGAATACATAAAGGCTTTTGTGACTTGAACAGTTCTATCAGTGTTTGGATAAAAAGTCAGAATTGTGAGACATAAATTCAAAATTCTGAGAAAAATTGGTAACATCTTCCTATTCTGAATTCTCATTCATCCATTCATTTTCCTTCGGCTTAGTCCCTTTATTAGTCAGGGGTCGCCACAGCAGAAAGAACCGCCAACTTATCCAGCATATGTTTTACACAGCGGATGACCTTCCAGCTGCAACCCAGTACTGGGAAACACCCATACACATGCAGACACATACACTATGGCCAATTTAGTTCATTTGATTCACCTATACTGCATGTCTTTGGATTGTGGGGAAATAAGAGCACCCGGAGGAAACCAACGCGAACACAGGGAGAACATGCAAACTCAAAATTATGAATTCTTTTCCAAATAATTGCGCTTTTATCTCAAAACTTGCAGAACTTCTTGAATTTTGACAAAAATGTCTGAACAATGGGAAAGCCAGTCAGAATTGAACGATAAAAAGCCACAGTTACCCTATTTACTTTATTCATTTATTATACAATTTTTTTTCTTTGCATTGGCAAATCATGCTTTAAAATCTCATGAACACAATTCAAGATCTAATTCAATACTATTTAATAATTAAACTAAATACTGAATTTGATCTTGTTTCAAGGACATCACATGAATGGAAAAAGAAACCAAAATACTGATTATGATATCAAAAGCATGCCATCTACCTGCAAAAGCCCTAAACTTGAGCAAAAGTGCATTGACATGTGAAAGGAATTAATGCAGAAGGACTAAGAATTTCATCAAATGATTTGTTCACCTAATTTGACAAGCCAACCTTTATCTAATCTTCTAAACAAAGCCCTAAGTTAAGTACTACAAGATCCATGTACACAAAACCTCACAGAGCGCACAAAACGTTCTGTCTATCTAATACACATTGTTTTGAAGTAACAGTTAGCGGCACAATAGCAAAAGAGAGGCTTCCCCTTGGCTCTGGTTCAGAGCTATTGTCAGCGCAAAGTAGCTTACAGTTAAAGACAATGCAGCCTAATGGCATTAAGCAAAGCTTTTACTCAAACTATACTGTATGCAGAAAACTAATTCAGACCAGATAAGACATCACAACAAACCCCAAACCCTTCAAAGTTTATCTTGCTTTGATTTTAGTGTTTTACTGAGGGACTAAAAAGTAATTTTGTAAAATGGAATGCTGGGTTATCACAAGAAAAACTGAGGTTTGGGAATTTCTGTGACACCAATTCTGGATCAGTGTAATTTGTTGAAGTCTTGTTGCAAAACTTAGGCCCCGTTTACACTAGTGCGTATTAGTTTTAAAACGGCGTTTTAGAATGAAAACGATCCGCGTCCACACTCGCGTTTTACCCAGCGTTTCTGAACTGCTCTCCGTCCACACCAAAACGCTGAAAACGCACATCACGTGACCACACACACACACTTTGGCAATCGCTGGAGCCCATCTACCCAGATGAGAGCTCTGCTAGTCGGACTTCTCATCAAGCATCTCCCGCTGGATCTAATCTCACTATATTTATAAAACGTGATATTTCATTCATCTTGTTGTCTTTATCTAACGACATATTCCCTGACTTTGGTCACTGGAATCTATTACTTGTTCTCAGGTAACGTGTTTTGGCTGAGCGCAAAGATAAGTTAATGATTAATGTAAGCACGTAGCCTACATTCTGTATATTGACTGATCGCTTGCCTTTATTTCCTATAATGTATAAACTTATTGTATGTTATACTTTTATAATGGCCATTATCGATTATTAAAACTGATATTCAGCAAAAGAGAGGGTGTGTTTCGTATTTTCACTGAAATTGAAAGGAGGCAGTTGTTATCGGCTCCGTTTTGTTATAAATATGCACACAGTGAAGATGACGCTCATATATGCAGCACGACGCCTCAACATTTCTGCTGTCTGTTTAGTTGTTAATATTAAAATAAAAATAGGCAGTTCCTTATATCAAGTTTACATTTTATTGTTGAGAAAGTGAAACAACGTAGCCAAGGTGATGTGAATGAAGTTATAAAGTACACTGTTCCCTGTGAAGATTGACGCTGGTCCTCGGTATGTTTTCCATATCAAACTGAGAAGAAGAGATGCAGCCTTGATCAAACTTGCGAAGTCTGAACTTACACGGAGAAGATTCAGGACTGAACTGTGTGTTAGGCTACTTAATATTGAGGAAAAGCCCCAATCAGAGAGGCGAATGTCTGCAGCCCCGCCTCCGTTTTCAGATATCTCCGTCTTTCCCCATCCACACTGAGACGGAGCTGCAGCGTTTTAGAATGAAAACGGCCTCTCCAGCGTTTTCGAAACGCTCCGTTTTCGGCGCTCGAGAACTCCGGCGTAGTGTGGACGGATGGCGTAACCGTAGCAAAACTTATGCGTTTTCAAACTAAAACGCACTAGTGTAAACGGGGCCTTAGTGAGCTACATCTTAAAGGGAGCACCAGAACAATCACGGGACTCAGTAAGTAATTAATTTAGAAAAATATATAGACAAAATCTCTATGCATCACAAAATTCCAATTGTGTCTGATGTAGGCTAATAGGTCAAAATGAACTCATTCTGCATTTAGAAATCACAATTTCTCTTGACTCGTCAACCATTTTGATTTATTTAGCAGTGCTGGTGAATATACAAAGAGCTTCTAAAGCAGGGGTGTCCACACTCGGTCCTGGAGGGCCGGTGTCCTGGAAAGTTTAGCTCCAGCCCTAATTAAACACACCTGAACCAGCTAATCAAGCTCTTACTAGGTATACTAGAAACTTTCAGGCAGGTGTGTTGAAGCAAGTTGGAGCTAAAGTCAGCAGGACACTGGCCCTCCAGGACCGACTTTGGACACCCCTGTTCTAAAGAATCTGTTCAGAACAAGTTCTTAGTAGTTGTGTCGCATAATATGGCATTTATATCTGCTTGTAATAAAAATGTGGCTATGATGAAGGCAACTTACTAGAATCTGGAATATAGTGTGTGGATATTTCGTAGACAGATTGTGTTGAGCTTTCAGGTTTGCTTGTGGTTTCGCTAAAACATTTTCACAAGAGTTTGTTTCATGTCTTTCTGCTTCATGAGAGAACCATGATGGAGACACTATTTGTGGTTTAAAGCAAAACCCTGAAGGCTTCTGTTGTGGAGGGTTTACTTTGGTAAAGAAACGATCAACAAACTACACGCACAT